TTATACATAGTTCTTACAAATACTGTAATCAATAGCCTATGAAATGACTTAAGGGATGTACTCTACAGGTGGGTCGCCGTCTTTTTCCTCTGAAGGAGTGGGTGTAGGCAGTGGGCGCTGTTACGCAAAAACCACGATAGAGTGAAGCCGCGGAAGTCGAAGCGCGAAGTGGCGAGGGTTCACTGTATATTAATACAGTTGACCCTAGTGTCCTCAAGACTATGGTCCTGAGCCCCCAGGGCCAGTGCCTCATTCTCTCAGTGTTGGGTTATCGCTAAGAAGTTTTCATTTTCATAACTGAATGTTCTACTCTATTCATTTATGTGTTTGCAATACATAGGTAGAACTACCCTGTGTCAGACCTGTATATGTCCCACTCTCCTTCCCACTCGTGTTCAGCATTCAAGTCTACCTGGCCGTTCATTAGATTGTTGTCGCTGCAGGGCTGTGTATGGAATAGTATTTGCTTCTGTGCCTTTAACCCTTGTGCCCCCTTCCAGGGTCTTCTTTCCTTCCATCACTTTTTGCTGACCTGGCTCTTAGGGTATGTTGCCTTCCCGTTTACCCAAATTCTTATGTGTCTACCTTTTAATTAGTGAAAACCTTTCTCTCTATAATACCTTCCCAGCAGCAGAAAGGCAAGCTAAGACTATGACGACCCTGACCCAGGCCTATCACTGAGCTAGCTAGCTAGTTAGCTGTGTGCCCTTGAGTAACTGACTGACCTTCTCTGGGTCTTGCCTCCTGCAGAGAATAGCCTGCGTCACGGGGTTGATGGGACACTGTAGTGATTGGCTCGTGGCAAGTGCAATGATGTGTGAAAGCTAACTGTTGCCATTCTTGGTGATATGTCTGCCCCCTTGTACCAGGCCACTCCTTCCTGACATGGAAGCCCTTGCAGGTATTTGGAAACCATTCTTAAGTCATCATCCGTCCCATCTGGCACTTCTGTGGACATGGTACAGCACAGGCCTGTGCCAAGTCATTAGTTCCAAGGTGGCCCCTGCCTGCTGGGGATGTACAGGCACAGGCCTTGGCTCTTGCCTCTGCTTCTTAAGGCCTGTGTGACTTTGGGCAAGCCACTCAGCCTGAGTTGTGAAGGTTACAGATGGTACCCATTTTTCAGGGTGCCGAGCGTTACAGATATTGCTCTAAACACTTAGCACAGTACTGGCAAGTGACTCTTCTCCCCATTATAAGATGGGAAGTCAAGGTACAATCAAACTGCTGCCCACAGGCCTGATACACTCAACAGAGACACTGGACAGAGAAAGGCTTCCAAGCACATTCATTCAGGCTTCCTGACTCCCCAGCTTCTTTAGCTGGAGAGGGGACCTTATTCTGATGTGTATGACTGAACTGCACTCTACCTCTGTAAACACACACACACACACTATACACATATATATAATTATATATAAAAAATAATATATAATACAATGTATTATATATAATATTTATATTGTTATCTATATTGTATATATAGCGAGTATGAGGTAGAATGCTC